CTGTGGAAATCAGTTGCCCAGCCAGAATGCAGCCTTGGACACGGCAGGTCCCAACAGCCTGAGGACCTGCGGCAGGCCTTGCTTGCCACCCCCAGCCCTGCGATGCCACATGTGTCACCTGATGAGCTGTCTCCTCTGTCAGGCTGGACACCCCCTCATTCTTCCTGTCTCTACATGGCACATGTGGTGTCCTCTATTTAATCTTTCTATTCGTTAATACCTGGCTCTGCTTCTGATTCTGGCTTCTTGGTCACGTGCGCCTTGGGAAGCACAAGGTTATGGCTCGAGTGACTGGGCCCCTGCCTCCCTCCCACGTGGGAGATGTGAATTGACATCCCTGGCTCCTGACTTCAGCCTGGCCTACCCTAGCTGCAGTGGGCTTTGGGAAACGAAGCAGCAGATATGTTTTAATGTGGGGTTTTTTTTTTGTCTCTTTTTCTGCCTCTTGCATTTAAAAACAATGTATCTTTTTGAAATCACTGGCTGAGCACCTGCTAAGTATGTCTGGGCTCTGGGAAACCCCACCATCACTGCCAGGAGAGTCCAGAAGAGACTTGATGGGAGCTTGTACATGGCCAGTGACCTTTGAGGCCAAGAACAAGAAGTGCACTGTGGGGGCATGTAAGGAGAGGCCTGTAAGGGGTGGTTTGGAAAAGAGAGAGTAAGGAGTCTGCATTCCTGGAATTCTTGTTGGAGCCCCTGTGTGAGTGTTGGCTCTGTGAGTTCCTGTAGGCAGCACAGGGTACAGAACAGTGGCCTCGGCGCGCAGGTGCAGGGAGAAGCCTGGTTTGTGCACTGCAGGTTTGAGGCACCAGGCAGGTCATGTGGATGGAGATGTCCACCAGGAGGTGGCCGGTATGGCCACAGTTCTGGACTTGTGTGTACGCGATGGGGGAGTGGCAGCCACAGGGAATCAGTGTGGGTTGGAGGGGAAGACCTTGGCGGCGGCCGGTGGGTCATTGTCCAGCTGACTAAAGCAGAAAATGACCATGACTCTGTCTTCTGGGGATCCCCGCATGATGTCCCCCTGGCTGTGACACCGCTTACATCCCCACCAAGGATACACTTAGAGGCCAGCCTTCTCGCCTTTTGTGCTGAGGGTGCCAAACTGCCTCAGGCACCCACCTGTTTACCCTTCAGCCCATCTCCCAGATCGCTTCCTGAGGACCTGCTGTGGACCCCCTCCTCCTGAAAACCGCCTGTGCCCATTCTCCTGTCCTCTAGTGGATGGGCACAGGTCTAGCGGCATGCTAGCACCTCTGCCTCCCCTCCGTCTGAGCCGCCAGCACCCCCAGCCGGCACTGTTGGGCATCACCCCGACTCCCTCCAGCCGGTTTCCCAGAACCTGCTACAGCTAACTTCAGCCTTGGCCACGCCCAGGTGGACTGGTTCCTACAAGCAGGCCCAGCTTCCCTCCCTGAACGCCCTGCCCACCACTGTGGCTTCCTTCCGACTCCAGATTCCGGTCAGCTGTGATGCCTTGGGGCTTTGGCACGGCTGCACTTTGCCCTGACTGCCTTGCACTGGCTTTGTCTTGCCCCTGCCCCCACCCTGTGTCGCCCTCCTTGTCCACCCAGGTCATCTCCACCAAGTCCAGCGTCAGCTGCCTCCTCAGCAGTCTGTTTTGTTCTTGAGTCTGTTTATCGTGTCTCTGATGTCTACAGCAGTGCCTGGGACTTAATCCCTTAGCAGATATCTCTGGGCTCAGTTAGTCAGGGCTGCCCAGCTGCTGTGGTGACAGGGTCTGAGCGGGAGAAGGGGAAGACGAGGGGAGGCGGAGGCTGGAGTTGTTAGTGACCTGCGATACTTGATGGACTTAGGTCTTGGAAAAGGCAGGGGCCCCGTCACGAAGATGGGAAAATTTAGCACACTTCTTTTTTTCTTTCCATTTATTTTATTTATTTCAAGAGATAACCCACACAGACCGAGTTCTGCCAACCACTGGTTCACTCCCCAAAAGACTGGACCAGTGCAAAGCTGGGAGCTGGGAACTCAGTCCAGGTGTCCCATCACAGGTGGCAGGGCCCCCAGTCCTGGAGCCAGCATCTGCTGCATGTTGGCAGGAAGCTGGAATTGGGAGCAGATCCAGACAGGCCAATAGGGGAGGCGAGTGTCCCAAGCAACGTCACAGGCCAGCCTGTTATCTGGGACTAAGGGCACCTGGGTGAATATCTGGGTAGACTGAGGCAGGCAGAGAAGCCAGGTGTGTTGAAGTGGGAGGGCTGAGTATCAGCTGGCTGAGGGGTGGGGTGCTGCTGGTGGAGGGGGGCCATGAGCTCAGTAGTAGACCCCCAGGGTGGTGAGCAGAGAGTTAGACTGTAGGTGTAACCAGATGTGACACCTCAGCCAAGGCAAGGCCAATGGATGCTGTCTGGATCCTCCCCAGACAAAGACCCCCCGCTGGGAGGAGCTAAGATAAAAAGTGGGGGTGAGCAGGTGGCAGAGTGGGGAGAAACCTGAGGATGCAGCTCAGGAATGGCAGAGCAGCAGGCCCTGGCAGAAAGCGAGGACCTGGCTGCCCTCCTGCGCTCCAGACACTCCTTGGTGGGTGGTGTGTGGAGGGGCCACTGGGACCTGGGAGAGAGCATGTCTGATGTCGGGCAGCTGATCCTTGGGAGAGCGCAGGGACCATCCCCATCCCCGGGCTCCTCCTGGAGTCCAGCGGAACATCTCCTGCTGCCTGCTGGCCTCAGGGCCGGAAGGTTGGCCCTGGAACATTCCTCAGCACTGATGGTATGATCCGCCGCAGGGAGGAAACGGCCCCCACCCCAGCCAAATTCCTGGTCAGTTCCATTCCCTGAGCCCCTGGCCAGGCTCCGTGGGACATTCCTCTCTGTCATGCCTGCCCTGGCCTGGGTCAGTGGCTGCCATCCATAGGTGGGCTCCCCTACCCCCCTCCCTCAGTGCAGTCCCCTTGCATCATCTTGGGACACTTCCTTGTGGGAATTTCCCTGCTGCTGTTTGTGGGGGGGCGGGGTCCTCCAGCAACCGGTGGACAGCAGAGTACCAAGGGTTTCAAGGCAAGGGGAAGGAGAAGCCACGCCCAGCTAAGAGGAAGCTGCTGACAGCTTGGGTGTGGATGTGGGAAGCTTGCCGGTCCAAGACTTATCAGCAGCATGGATTATAAAAAGGGTGCCCACCCAAACAGGTGCCACCTCCCAGTATGGCTGCAGTGTCCATCCAATTCAACATGGATCTGGGGTCGTGGGGAGGGCACAAACCATAGCTCCCAGGGTGGGGCCTGTGGTGTTTTGGAATGGTTTAAAATCTCCTTAATTCAACTTGGTCTGCAGCATCTGCTGGAAGCTGGTTAGCAGCCCCTGTTAGAACTGCAGAAAAGCGCAAGCCATTTGGGGGGAAATTAAAACCCTTTGTGTCAGACAGGGCTAGGATGCAGACTGGTTCAAGTTGAAAGGCTGTAGCCGTCTGTGTCCTTGCGTGGCTTGGGCAGCTTGGCCCATGTGACCTGTTTCCTTGCTTGGAGAGTAAGAAGTGGGGGCAAGCAGCTGTGATGCTTACACAGGAGCACAGGTGTGTCCTGGTGGAGGAAGTGATGCAATACAGGGATAGGGAGGTGGAGCATGCACGCTGTTGGGAAGCTTGTGACAACTGCCCTGGGGGGGGGGGCGGGTGGGAGGAGAGGGGAAGAGGGACGGTGAGGGAGGTTTGCACAGGGTGCGGGTGCAGGCAGGGAATGCCCCAGACAGTGGTTCTGCCGTGCGTGGCTCTTGGCTTGTGTAGGGAGAAGACCCACCTCCTGTCACTCCCTGGGTGAGAATCCCTATGTGCTGCTCCTCCAGCGAGCCCCTGCCCCGCTGCTTAGGCCAGTCTGCATGGTTTGCCTCCTCCTGCTTTCCTGGCTAACTGTCACTGTCTTCTAGGCTTGTTTGCTGTCACAACCTCACCCAAGTGCTCGATTTGGCAGTTAACATCTTCATGCTGTTTTCCAGCAGTCATCCTGCCACACTTATAACCTGGAGCCATTAAACAACTCCCCAGCCTGTCTCCCCGCTACGCTGCTTTCTGACAGCGGGCTCTTGCATGTGTGGAGCCCCAAGTCAGGTCCACTACGGCTTCCAGGTTCTTCCGTGGTGTCTCCTGTCCTTTCCTTGCACACTGTTCTCCCACCCTCTTCAAGGTCAAAACGCTCAGCGCCGCGTGTGCCTTGCTTCTAGTTCATCAGGTGTGGCACGTGGTCACAATGTGTAATGAATGACAGGCAACTAGTGGGTCTGCTTGAGCTGGAAATATTTACCAGGTGCCCTTCCCCCTGCCCCCGAATAGTTCTGTCCTGTCAATTAAACGTTCCCATTTTCCAGGTTGCATCTGCTTCATCTGGGACCCGGAGATGGAGGCCACAAAACCTGTGTCATTCAGCTCCATCCGTAGGTGGCTTCACACCTGTCGAGGCTCTACCTCTGCCTCATCCAAGGGGCCGGTGTCGGGGGAAGAGCTGTCTCTCACCACGGACCCCTGTTGGAGTGCTGCACAGCCTCATGTCATAAATGGACTTTTAATCACAAAAGACAGACAGGGCTGGGGTCAAGTGCATTGTACTCTCCAGAGCTCACGGCCGAGGGCCTGGCTTTCAGCTTGCTTGGGGTCATACCAACTCTTGTCTGAATTCTCCCAGAATCTCATGGTCCTCACAAGGCTGGGTTTCCAGTAAACCCGCCAGTGCTTTGCCCAAGGCTGGACATGTTTGCTACTCCTTTCTGTCTCGTCCCTGTCCACCAGGGTCCCTTTCTGCTCACCCCACATCTCCAGCCTCCTCTGGTTCCTCAGGACTTCATGCTCAGCCTGCTCACTTGGCCTTGTAGTTTGAAGACCTATCATCACTCCACCACCCTGGACTTGGCAGTGGCTAGGGGTTTCCCTGTCTCAGGACTGGGGGTTGGACTAGATCCTTCGAGAGGAGACCTGGGTGGGAGGCTATATGTGTTCACCCGTGTTAAGAATTCAGGTCACATTGTATTGGTATCTCTTTGTCTCCCTCCCAGGTCAGCTGTGTCCTGTGCCAAAGATGTTTCCAGAACAGCAGAAAGAGGTATGTCATCCCAATTGGAGACCCAGTATCCCTGTGTGTAACTGAATTCTGCATTCCTTCATCCATGGCCACCTACAGGAGAGTGATAAAAGGACAGAACACCAGCCTCCCCGTACCCCCTGCCCACCCACTGCATGTCAGTGGCCTTCATGGCTTGAGCTTTGCCAGGCACTGCCTGCCACCTATGCCTGCTGTGCTTTCTCTCATCCCTGAAGGTCACCACCTTTGGGTAGTCGTGTAGGGAAGCTGTCAGCCGCAGGGTTCTTTTGTTGCTGCCTGCTGCCTCTGGAGGTCTCTGAGCTTGATGTCAGAGAAACCCAGGTGAGTCCCTCCCCCTTTCCTGGTGGCCTGGCCTCCTGGGTCTCCTGGGTCTCCTGGCCCAGTTTCCAAAGCTTCTGTCTGATTAGAAGGAGCATTAGGACAGCCACGTCACCAGCCTGTTGCTGAATGTCCTATCACCGCCCCCCCCCCAGCTCCCATACTACAATGCATGTCCTCACTCGGGGAGCCCCATGAAACAGAACGGCAGCCCATGGATGTCCAGTGCACATGTACAGACATACATGTATGTGAGTCACGTGTACAAACACACACATATGAGGTACACTGGAGCACCCCCACACACTCACGAGTCATGTTTAGACACATAAACATAGGTGCATACGAACATGTGAGCTACAAGTACACACATGAACATAGATGCACACAAGCCTTGCACACATTCGCGAGTTGTGTGCACACACGAGTCATGTTCATGAGGCATGCATGAATGAGTGTGCATATTTGTGAGTCATGTGCCCATGTGTGTACACACAGGTATACATGAGCACATGCATACATGTCACATGGTCATTTGGCTCACAGCTCACCTCACCAAGTTTAAAGCACTAAACCCATTTGAGAGACTTCAGAAACTCCTTTGCTGCACCTCACCTCCTTTCAGCCTTTCCTATTGGTTCAGGGTTTGTTGAATAGCCCAGCCCATTCTCACCTTTATTTCCGGATTGGCCTCTCCATTTTTCAAAGGGTGTTTTCCTATCTGTATCGATATCATCTGCCATCTATATGTCCGTATCTGTATGTCTTTTTCTATGTATAGACCTTAACTTTCTCGAGTTGGGTTATCCCATGGTCGAGGTGCCAGCTTATTCCCTAATTCCCCCTCCTCCTGAGCTGTGATGGGAACCCAAGACTGAAGAAGGAAGAAGGATGCTCCCTGTGAGGAGCAAAGGGCTCATCGCGGCATCCTGTGTGTGGGATTTCAAGCTGGACTGACAGGTGGCCTGGAGTTGTAGCAAGCCTTTGCCGCACAGTACTGGAAGAGGCCAGGTGCTGGGTGTTTGCAAGTTAGTGGGAGCTGGGCAGGAACCTATGCTGCAGGGTTTCTCCTCCACCCCTGGGACTGATCCCTCAGACATCTTATTCCTTTGGATCTAATCAGCCTGGCCTGTGATAGCCACTTCAGTGGTATGGCTGGGCGCAGGTGCTGAGCACAGACAGTGGCTAAGCAGCAGCTTGGGGGTGCTGGCGCCCCACCTTGGATTGCCTGCTTTGGAGTTGTACCTCTGTTTCCAGTTGTAGTTTCTGGGCAGTGAGTACCCTGGGAGGTAGCAGCTGACAAGGGCGCAAGGATTTTTTTGATCCCTGGCACCCATGTGGGCAAACCTGGACTAAGTTCTGGACTCCTGGCTTTGACCTGGAACCTGGCTGCAGCTGTTGTAAACCAGAAAAGTTAGCAAGGTCAGTGTCTTTCTGAGAGAGAACAAGGACAAAAGAGAGGGGCAAGACTTCCAAAGGGCATCATGTGATTGGCTGTCTTGTGGATGGACATGCGCAGCAAGATGCATACGATGCCTTCGCTGCTTGTGTGCAGCTCATGCATAACCCACACTCACACAGAGGTCTATTGCCCAGGACTCCAGAAGGCACTCTGGGGTCCGACTGGGGACCCTACACCCGGCATCCTTTGTTCCCATCCTTTGCTAATCGGAGCTGGAACTGAGCTGCTTGCCCCAGGGACACCTGTTCCGTGATGTTAGCCGAGCTGCAGGGCGAAGGTACCCACACTGCCTCCTTCTCTTCTAACAACTTTCAAGGTTAACTGCTCACGAGGAGATAAATTTATCGCAGGGAAGGAATATGACACAGCACCAGCCGGTGGAAGACATGGACAGGGAGGGTGCCAAACGTGGAGCTTCTGCCAGCCCTCTCCCAGGCTGTCATGGAAGGGGGACCCACCCAGCCTCGCTATGTGACAGTGCTCCTGAGGGTTGTCAACCAGGGAGGGGCACGCTGCAGGTGGTCAGACTTCATCGGAGTCCATTACATCCTGCCTGTGAGACTCGGCTCCTATCTCTGCTTTGCCCTATAGCCTGAGTTATGACGGTCCACGCTCAGTACCCCAGAGAGGTTAGTGCCTCTGGATGTGGCAATTCCTGGGTGCTCAAGATCCTTTGTAAAATTGTGTACTGTTTGCCTAGAGCCTGTGTACTGTAGTCATCTCTTGATTACTGAGAGTACCTAGTGCAGTATCCATGCCACTCTGTCAATCAGGGAATGACAAGGGGGAACTCTGTGCTTGCTAAGTACAGGTGCGATTTGAAGGTTTTTTTTTTTTTTTTAATCTTTGTTTATTTGAGAAACAGAAGCCAACCCAGGTCTCCTCTGTAAGTGGCAGGAACAGTCACTTGAGCTGTCATTGCTGCCTATCCTAAGGCCTGTGTCGGACAGAAGCTGGGCTCAGGAGGCAGAGCAGGGGATTGTATGTGGGTACTCTGAGGTATGGGATGCAGTGGGGATAGCTAGGCCAAACGTGTCCGAATATTGTCCTCGCACAGCTGGGTGTACTGTCAGGCTGTGCTTCCTGAGAGTGGCCCGATATTCATGTCTTAGTCCCAGGCAAGCTGTAGTGCTCCCTGCAGGCGGGACCCTTGTCCTAGCAGTGCCGTCCCAGAGGCACCTGCAGGCTCCCCGTCAGAGAAACTGAGCCTTTTTCCTGTATAGCAATGAGAACCTCGCCATAGTTGTTGCTGTTGTGGGTGTCATCATTTGGTTTTTATTATAAGCTCATTCAGAGCATCCACATAAAGGAAGGGCACTGGCTTTGAGGAAGTCCTTGTTCATCAGTAATTGTAACAGATTAGCATTTAGGGATTGTGTCTGTGAGCTCATTCCATGGGAAAGGAAAACTGCGTTTTGCATGTGGGAAGACGGGCAACATCCAAAACCGTGCTGTGAGCCTGTGGCAGCGAGAGGCAGACAGGGCACGGCAGGGTCCGGGTGGATGGCAGTGGGTTTGTGTCCGTCCACCACCCCATCTCTGTCCTACCTGTAGCCAGGGTGACCGTCCAGCTCTTAGTCCGCTGCCCTCAGCACCACGTCAAAACCAGCCTGTGGTTCCTGATTTCTCCCAGGTCCAGAGCTGCCTCTGGCTGCATGCTCACCTCCGGCTCCCCGTCTTCACTCCCCTGCCCCACGTCCCAGTGTCCCTTGTGTCCCCTGGCTGCTGCCACCATGTGTGTGCACCCTGGTACTCCTGGAACAGTGTGCCTCCCACTGCCTGGAACCTTCTCCTCCTGTGCTCCGTCCCCCCCCCCCCCGCTGATCCCCACTAATGGTTTTCACCTCTCCACAGCCTTCAGGCCTCACTTAGAAAAGGCGAGAAGGGGCTTGTGTGAAAGGCGTCTCCGCCCTTCCCCTTCCCAGCACTGGTCAGTCCCAGGGAAGAACACGTGAGCCGTTCAGTATCATTGTGGCTAGTGGCTGCTCACTAGAAAGTGATTCAGGCCCAGCTCGTGGTGGGTGTGAGGGTCAGGTACAATGTCACGAACTGTGTCCATGGTTGCCACTGCTGCGTTGGCGTGGAGTTCACTCCTAACAGCATCCTTGTTCAAAATCCAGGCAGCCCGGAGTGACAGCTTGTTCTGTCTAACTGGCAATGGCAAGCCTAGAAGTTTTGGACATTTTTTTTTTTTAAGGATGTGGTGGCTAAGGAACCAAATGCAGTCTCTCTTGTTCAAACAGCTTTATTACTGTAATAAATCTAGAGCGAGGGGAAGAGGGAGCCAGCGTCTCCCTTGTTAGTTAAACATGTTCCATTTGCACATTGGCTTGAATTCCCAGGAGGGCAGTATCGGGTATGATGGATCTTCCCCATAAAAAGGCCCTGGCATTGAGCCATTGTAAAATTAAAATGAATTCAGATTCAGTCATGCATGCAACTTTAATTTACAATTAAAATATTATGGTTACATATTTTAATAAGAATAATTAGATGGACTCAACGGACTCAACACTGCTGTTTAATGAGACAGAACCCGGAACCCAAATGGAAAGGCAGGTGGCTGTGACGGGGCTGTGCTTCAGATGGCGTCTCGTGCAGAGTCAGGCCTTTGGGTCCTTTCCGTATCTAATGGGCAGAACGGGCAGCTGGCTTTTTCTGCACGGCTAAGGGCCCTCCCTCTGGCCACTCGGGACTTGTCCTCTGCACTGGGGAGGGACAGGCGGGCTTAAACCTGCCAGCAGGCTCCGAGGTCACCAAGGGTGAGGTGGCGCTGTGTCAGCATAAGAACCACGCCACCAGAGACAAGCTGTTGAGGAATATCCGCTTTGTTATGCATAAGTTACAAGTTTTTTTTTAAGATTTATTTTTATTGGAAAGTCAGATATACAGATAGAAGGAGAGACAGAGAAGATCTTCTGTCCAACGATTCACTCCCCAAGTGGCCACAATGGCTGGCGCTGAGCCACTCAGAAGCTAGGAACCAGAAGCCTCTTCTGGGGCTTCCATGTGGGTGCAGGATTCCAAGGCTTTGGGCCATCCTGCACTGCTTTCCCAGGCCACAAGCAGGGAGCTGGATGGGAAGTGGAGCTGCCGTGATTAGAACCAGTGCCCATGTGGGATTCTGGCGTGAGCAAGGCGAGAACTTCAGCTGCTAGGCTACTGTGCCAGGCCCATAAGTTACAAGTTTTAAAGGCTAAGGAAGGGGTGGGCGGGGGGG